CTCAATGTATGAGAAACAACTGTACGCTCTTTTGCAAGCACTGCTGACGTGGAAGCACTACCTTCTACGTAGGCACTTCAAAGTCTACTCAGCCCATGAGACTCTGAAGTGGTTCAAGACGTAACCACGACTAACTGACAAGCTTGCTAGATGGTTGGCTATCATTGACACTTATGACTTTGGATTGAAAAGTATTAAAGGAAAATATAATGTTATGGTTGACGCTCTCTCTAGACATAGTTATTTCTTTGGAACTATCGTAACCTATCTGGACACTGGGAACAATCTGAAGGAAAAAATTAGGGAAGATATGCCACTAACCCTATATGGCAACCTATCATTGATACCCTGAAATCTAATCCAAAACCTTTCCCTTACTATCGATTAACTGATGGCATACTCATCTATGTTGATGGGAATGAACAAAGAATCTGTGTTCCTCACAATGAAGTTATCAAAAGCCTAATTCTTGGTGAATGCCATGATGCAGAGGGACACTTTGGGTTCACGAAGACATATGCCAATGTCCAAGAACATTTTGAATGGTAGAGAATCAAAAGCGATACACTACTGTACATGAGAACTTGTCTTGTGTGTCAGCGCAACAATCTGTCCCACGAGAATCCTTTGGAACAACTGAGACCACTCCCTATTCCCAACAGACCAGGTGAGTCCATCTCCATTGACTTCATGAGTTTGGTCAGAAGTCGGAATGGGAATAGCCAGGTAATGGTTATTGTTGACAGATTCTCTAAGTACGCCATGTTTGTTCCCTTGCCTGCAAAAGCAAGGACCGAACTAGTCATTCAAAAGTTCCAGATGCAATGGGTATCTGAATACGGATTTCCCACAACCATTGTAATGGCAAAGGTTGATGGAAGCCTATGGCACCAGGTTGACTATGTCATCAGGACGACATCCTGAGACCAATGGTCAAACCGAACAAATGAATAAGCTGTGCCAACAGCTCCTGCGCATGTACGTGCCACCTGACCAAATAGAGGGATGAGAACCTACCTAAGATTGCAAGTGCATATAATAACAGTGTACATACTGTTACAGGGAAGACACCAAATGCACTAAAAGGTTGGCAACCTCAAAGACCTATCGACTCTCTGACTAGAGAACGGGTCCAGAGGCTGCCCTCCGAAACCCGTGAGTTTGCAGTTTTGTATGCACAAGACATTCAGAAGGTAAAAGAGAATAAAAAAAAGGCCCAACAACAAATGATTGAACAGGTTAAACCACCAGTTCACCCACACCTATTTCCAAGGCTTTGGAAGTTCGTTTGCCCAAGCCTCTGCCAGTCTGGTACCGGCCTCTGAAAAATGAAACAGGGTACCGGTACCACGGTTGAGGCTCTTTGAAGAACTGGACCTGAGGTCCACGAAACAGGTCCTCATGTTTGTTTTTTTTTTTTTTTTTGGCCCAACGGGATAAGGAAACCAAGCCTTTACTAGTCCTCTTTCGAACAACCCAGGCCCATTCGCAGTTTACTGCAATCGATAAACAGTGCAGTGCATGGCAGTCAACTGGTGGTTTAATAAGCATCGAAGGCCTGCGCAGTTCAGAGAAGGAGATTTGGTATGGGTCAACTCTAACGAATTCTCATTAGAAGAAAATGTCTCGCAAAAATTGCTACTTGTCTACTTTGGACCCCGTGAAGTTCTCAAAGTGATAGGAGGCGAGAGTGGACCCCTCCTTCAGTGGATGGCGGGTATCAAGTTGACAGGATACTTGAGCATGGGTTTTTCTCCACAGGTGGAAGAGGAAGACCTCAGGAGCAATATAAGGTAAAATTTACTAACCAGCCACTGACTGAAGCTCGCTGGTTTACAAAGAAGGAACTCTTACCTACTGCCCCTGAAATAATCTCTGCATACGAGAGAATTCTGAAAAGATAAAGCCTGGAAAAGAAAAATTTATGCGATGGAACTGGAAATCGGGCAGGATGCAATGCAGTCACTCGTGTGCAAAATTAATCACATTGAATCCTGGTCGTGACCCCACAACAATCACAAGAAGGCAGGCCTCGAAAAGGCCAAACAGGCCCTGGTCGTGGCCCAGGCCTACGATTGGCAAAATCAACTCGTGGTCAGGCCCAGATCCAAAAAGTCAAGTCAACGCAAAGATTCCTGGCTGTTGATCTTGGATGATGTAACGGTGGTCTGTAGGTTCCAGAAGCTTCAGGCCTCGAAGGGACTCCATTCCAGTACCGGGACAAATCCGATCTGAGCCATCGACATCGGGTCAATCTGAGCCTCCCATAAGGAGGCTGGGGGCTTGGTCAATGCCAGTCAGCACTATTCACTGGTTGACTTCACCCTGACTGGCATTCAGTGTTGTGCATCGATCGTGGCTTCTATGCTGCACGTGAGATTGGAGGAGGACTGGCACCAGGCTGCTGGATGGGAGCCAGCCATCGCGACTACGGAGAGGAGAGAGAGAGAGAGAGAGAGAGAGAGAGTACGGCAGCCATAGCTGGCCATTTACTATAGCGAGACAACGAGGAGAGAGAGAGAGAGAGAGTAGGTTAAGAGGAGGTCAGGATTACGTACCTGGTCTTGATGCGATGCTGCTATTGATTCTGTACTTCGTCGCTGGAGGTTACCTGCAAAAGGCTAGACAACAGTGTCCACATGTCAAATTATGTACAGGTTGGTGACATGCCAGGACTGTGCGCTGACGTGGCAGAGGTGGAGGAGCCTGGAGGAGGAGTGGGCCTGTCTTTCCTGTCTACCCCCCTCCTGCTGTCTATTCTCCCCCACCTCTCTTCTTTTCTGTCCACTTTGTCTTGGATACTTGCCACGTAGCATTGAGGAAACTTGTACATCGATGATTTCAAATTGTTCGTACATTGAGATCTCGACATTCCTTCGGGCCATGCCTTTTTGGATAGTCAAAACGGGTCTGGGTGTTGTCCTTCGGAACATCTGTTAAAATTGGAACAATACAGAGAAGATTGGCATGGCCCCTGCGCAAGGATGACACGCATAAATTGAGCAACGGACCAAATGGTCCAATTTTTTAATAAAAAAACAGGTTTGGGTGAACTGCTGCTTCAAGACTTTAAGATCAGGTGATGATCCAGGCCGTCTGACCTGTCGGATGGTCTAGATCATTGCCCGATCTTGAAAGTCTTAAGATCGCGCGACGCTCTGAACCAACGGGCTTGTAGGACCGCAGACAGTCTAGATTGTCGCGCGACCTTAAGTCTTAAGTTTGCATGACAATCCGATGGGCTGGTAGGACCCCGGACGGCCCGGGTTGCAGATTTCTCACGTTAGCGATTTTTATAAGGCTAAGGATACCACAGAAATTGCTGCTGTAAGGACTGGAACCCGCATGTGTGTGTCAAGTTTCCCAAAATCCAATTGTGCAGCAGCCTCACAAGAAAGTCGGGAACTTCCCCAAAATGCCAATTTGCCAAGGCAGAGGCCGTAGGAGGCTGCTAACGATTGAAGCAGGCACGAACAGCCCACTGCAACTATATATTTTGGGCTACGATGCCAGAAGGGAGTCAGTGGTTCATTTCACAAAATTGGGGAAGTGCTACTGGAGCTTGTGCGATCGGGCGTCCTGGATGAAGAAGCTGGCGTAGGTGGAAGTAGAATCCAGTGCCCTGGCTGCTACAGTCGACCATAGCCGCCCAATATCAACAAGACACACCGCAGAGGCATTCAGGGTAGATGTAGTGCGTTGACGGAGGAGCAGTGAGCCAGGAGGATCGTGGGAGGAACAGTGCAAGGAGAGAGAGAGAGAGAGAGAGAGAGAGAGAGAGAGAGAGAGAGAGAGAGAGGGAGNAGAAGAGAGAGAGAGAGAGAGAAAAGGAAAAGGGGGAAGAAGGGGGAAGAAGGGGGAGAAGTCAGGTACATACCGGAGTCGAGCTTGCTGTGGTACACACTTAGGGGGAAAATAGGTGAAGGGGGCCACATTGAGAATCCCATGCGCACTATGCACGTATGTCCCCACAACAATCAGAGGAGACCCTGGAAACCACTGTGAGGGTAAGGGTGAGGATCTGCGTGGGTGGTGCGCATGGGCTTTCCTCCTGGTTTGCGGAATCTTAAACCACCGGTGCATCCGAGTGCAAGGAATTTTGAGCGATAAGCGAAATGACAGATCCAAATCGCAAGTCACACTGTAGCCAAATATTCAGGAACTCTCTAGAAAGTAGAAATGCACCAATGACACTCAATCAGAGAACCAGAAGCATCAAAAATTGTTAGTGGAAATATGGCCTCGCCAACATCAACATTGTATCCAATGCAAATCTTCCCTATTGGCGCTGGGCGCCCAGACTACAATCACACAGTCCCCGTCTGGCCTACACTACGATGACGAACAACCGGTGACGTCAGCAGCCTTGAACCGAGTACAAGCAGATGTTGCACAAGTAGACCATCGCCAAAATCAGGTAAGTGCCCTCACATCATCTCCTTCATCTCTGCTCTCTCTCTCTCCACTTTCCCTGTCTCTCACCCATGTCTTCTCCCTCGTGCACGAAGACCACCACCACACCCTGCTGTACTACCAAGCTCGACCGGCTATGGAGGCCGAGCTGTGGCGCTGCCCTCAGCAGCGCCCTGCACTCACAACCGCACATCGTCGGAACCCAAGGTTCTCGAATCAAGCCCCGATATATGAGACATGAAAAACGGCTAATTTGTGCAGGACAGAGAAAAGAGAGTCAAGGGAAGAATGAAAAGGAGGAGTCAGCAGCCCAAGGAGGACCGCCGGGACAAGGAGGTTCGAACCAGGACTTAATCCGACGGGAGTTTCAAGACTAGTGGGACCACTGAATTGACAAGACGCCTTAGACGGCGTAGGACAAGTGCAAGGGTCAAAAGACATGGGGGCAAGATTAGGATAGTGAAAAGGAGCACGATAGAGAGTGAGACGTCATAGGAAGATTCCAGAAAAAGACAGTTTTTGCCCGAAATCTGATGAGAACAGGGGAGAAAGGAGGGAAATATTGTCAGAATGAGATCGTTCCAACGGGAAGCTGTGGGGAACGGCAAGCCCCACGAAATATTAAAAATGCAAGAAATTCCGAGACCGTTTGCCTAGATAATTTATTTTTCTAACGGTAAATGGGCACTGTCTGGGGTCCGTCGAGACTTTGTGCCGTCAAGCGTGGAAGCGCAAGGGGACCGGTTCCGTCAAGAAGAGGCCGGTACATGACAATAGACGCAAGAAAATAAAAATAAATAAATAAAGAGCAAAGCCACCATGGCGGTCCCGCATGGAGGCCACCGCCGATGGCCGAGACGGTACCGGGAAAGGAGGCCCTACTGTGACGGCGGCAAGTAAACAAAAAATAAAAATAAAAAAAAATAGGGAGGAGAGCCACAGTATAAAGACGGCATGCACCGCCATATGCCAAGAGCCGACTGGAGGACACCATCGGCACGGCCTAGAAAGGGCCACTAGTCCGGATGACGAATGGAGCCTAGAGCCGACACAAGGGAAGCCGCGCAGCAAGAGGACCGCAAAAATGTGAAAGTGACGGTCATGGGGGTGCAGCGGAATGCAAGGCACCAGCTATGGGAGTGTCCCGACACTAGGCACTCAGAAAATGGGAGCTCTTTGCATTCTGAAACAAAAAAAAGCAAGCAAGGGGGGAGAAAAGACTAATTTCGCGGCCACTAGGTCTCGAAATTGAAGAATAACCAAGGGGGGATGAAACGGAGCACAATGGACTTGGTTTCTAGGAGCCAGATACACTAAATGCCCTAGCGTTTTTAGGGTGCAGGGTTGGGGCTGCCGGTGAGGGCCCGGCTAACACGAGGACCGAGCATTTGCCAGTAACTGTGCCTCCCTTTTTCGTCTTTCCCACCCCCATTGAGTAACAGTAGTGTCTAAAGCCAACACTCTCCCACACTTCATGCAACCCACTCACACACGCACTCACACCCGTGTTGGCTGAAGGCCTTACTAATACCAACTGGGAGGATCCAGCTGACTATCTCAGTTGGTTGGCACCAGGAGTGCTACAGGTGGCCATGGGGATTGAACCCACAACCTCCTGAATGCCACTTGCATGCCTAACCAATTGAGCTAGGCTGCTGGATATCGGTTACAAGATACTTCACTTTTTCTTCATTTCCTTTCAGAAAATCAAAGAAAATTGAGAGAAAAGCAATCCAAGATACAACGGACTACAAGGAGTGAGGGAAACACATGTTTTGAATACATCCAGGGTCAAAATTGAGCGGGGTTGGCGGCTCCACCCCTTTTCAGTTTGGGACGAGGAGAGAGGTCATGAGGGGGCAAAAATGAGCACCACTGTACTTCGAAAATTAACGAATGGCAAGGCCTAGACTAGAGCAAGGGAATGCACCATGGTGCCCCTAAGATGTAAGATATCGTGCGCCGTGATCAAAGGACCACTTGCGGCAATGGTCCTCGACCGTTAGATCGAGGTCTAACGGACGGGAATGTTTGCCGCAAGTGTGGCACTAGGGAAAAAAAAGAAAGGGGATTGTCGGGAACTAGGTGGGACCAGTGGCAAAGAAATAAAGAGAGCATACCGGTCCACGAGTGTCGGGGACCACATATTGCTAAAAGAAAGTAATAATGGCCGACGGGACCACGGCAAAGGGCACCACCGACAGGGGACTATGGACGGGACATGAGAAAAAGCGGACGGCGAGGACTCAAGACGTCCCATGTCGCAACGTCAATGACGAGAGAAAATGGGAAAAGGAGGGACCACCATCAGATCGGGATCCGACGGCCAGAAATATTAGCACCACTAAAGCCTAGCTCTAGTGGGATCAAGAAACCGGCATTCCGAACCTGAGGGAGCCACAGAAAAATAGAGGACGAGTGCTAGGGGCAGTCCGAGATATCTCGGACTGCCTAGGGGAAGGAAAATAGGGCCTTGAGTAGCCCTCGCCCCAGAAAACAGGGTCCGAAGAAAATCGGAAAAATAAAAAGCCTCCGTTTTGGGCAAACGGAGGGAAAATGGAGCCAGGGGGCTCATTATTGTAGTCCGAGATATTTCGGACCACATATGAGGTCTTGGTCTAGAACTAGATCAAGATCTATGGACTAGGAATTGTGTCAACAACAATTTGACACTTGTCCGTTATAGAATTAAAGGAAAGAAAAGAAAAGGGGGAGAAAAAGGAGGAGTGAGACAAAATAGGAGGAGAGAGGGGGAGTGAGGTGGTCGTCAATAGGGACTGGCAAGTCTCTACTGTGAACTCATCGCTCTGGATTTACTGGAGGCAAATCCGAAGTGAGGAGATAAGGCCCTTGGGGCAATATCAAGACAAAATCTAAATTAAAAAAAAAAAAAAAAAAAAAAAAAAAAAAAAAAAAAAAAAAAAAAAAAAAAAAAAAAAAGCAAAAATGTGGTGACCGATTTTTTTTGTGGGCCCTAGATCTGAGAATCGGATCAAGGGAGGAGCCAATGTAGTCGTTTTTGGCTAGGTAGCATGGGTTATCTAGCCGGATAATCTGGTCGGATGCTTAATTCATTCTATAATTTTTTATCTAAATATTATTTTCTTCTTCTGTTTTATTTTTTATCTTCATATCTGTTGAGTAATCAAAGATGGCCTCAAGCCAAAAGTTGTTCATAGTTCTTGAGGGAGGCCGCGC